GGGTGCGTGTCCGGGATACGGTGAGGTGGTCGACAGCCCCAAGACATGCGAATTCGCGGTCATGGAGCGCTTCTGGATGCCTCCCCGCCATGGCGACTGCGCCTGTGCCTGTGCCTGTGCCTGTGCCTGTGCCCATGCCCCCAGCCCTTCGCGCGGAAGCACACGGCCGCCGTGGATCAGCGGCTGGCCAGCGACGGCGCGCCACAGGAAGCCGAGCGTGCCTACATTCTTGTTCATGATAATCGCGGCGGGTACATGGTCGACGTCGGCAAGCGAGGGGTGTGCGGACGTGTGCGGGGGGAGGGAGGGTGCCGTGTGCGGTGCAGGACAGGTGGGCGGGTGGTTGGAATACAAGATTCACGTCATTACCCATGCACATGCAAAAAGAAGGCCTCGCGGTAGAGGGACAGGCGCTAGCCCGCTTCGGGACTACTGCCGCTCGCCTCAGCCAAATTTCTTGAGCAGCCCCACATTGTCGCGAATCGATAGCACCTCCAGCATCCACGCCCGCCTACACTTCGCATACCGCATACGCATACGCATACGCATATCGCATACCGCTGCCAGCATGCCCGCCCCTACCGCCCTCCAGCGCAGGCCCGACGAGTTCGCCGACGATGTCACCATGGAGGCGTCGTCGGTCCCGCTCCCGACCGAGAGCGACGGCGACCTCATCTCCATGAGCCTCGACCCCGTCGCCGCCGCGCACGATGCCCCAGCGCCCACCGACGACGACATGCCCATGACGGACGAGAGCGGAAAGCCAAAGTTCCCCGCCGCCAAGTCGATACCCCTCGCCTTCCGCCGCGAACAGCGCAAGGTCCCCATCCCACCCCACAGGATGACGCCCCTCAAGAACTCGTGGCCCAAAATCTACCCCCCGCTTGTCGAGCACCTCAAGCTGCAGGTCCGCATGAACACAAAGGCAAAGGCCGTCGAACTGCGCACCTCCAACGCCACAACCGACACAGGCGCGCTGCAGAAGGGAGAGGACTTTGTAAAGGCCTTCACGCTGGGCTTTGACACGGATGATGCCATTGCGGTAAGTGATACGAAGCCCTACACCTGAGCTGGCAGTTATTCAAACTGCGTCTGGCCTGGCCTGGCTCCTCGATTCGAGAATATCCGACTGACGACTCACAGCTGCTTCGACTCGACGATCTCTACATTGAGACCTTTGAGATCAAGGACGTCAAGACCCTACAGGGCGAGCATCTCGGCCGCGCGATTGGCCGCATTGCAGGCAAGGACGGCAAGACCAAGTTCGCCATCGAGAACGCCAGCAGAACACGAGGTACGTCCATGGCATGAATACCCCCGTTGTCCAGATTACTGACAACCCCCAGTCGTCCTAGCAGACCAGAAGATCCACATCCTCGGCGGTTTCAAGAACATCCACATCGCGCGCGAAGCCATTGTCAGCCTGATCCTGGGTCAACAACCAAGCAAGGTGTACGGCAACCTACGGACAGTCGCCGGACGTATGAAGGAGAGGTTCTAGACGATGCACACAAGCGAGAAATCTTGCATAGTAGCCAAGCAATGGCAACCGCGATATCGGGCATTTACACGGCGTTACGGACACTCGGGCAGGTTGGGAAAAGCTGTTATACCATCAGGCATGATTTGACGATTGGAAGAAGATGGATGGGATATCACATAGCTATAGAAGCAATTACGAGCGATGCATACATACTCGCATGGTCATGTTCGGTTCTGACAAAGTATGAGCACGAAGATTGCACGGTACCGTTCTCTCTCCACAGACATCTATACTGCCCGCTTCCCTCACGCATCCAGCCTTCCTACAAGTACCGCACAAACCTCTCTCCCCTCCTCGCCCCAAACCCTCTGGCAAGGAATCCACTGCACACCCTCCATCTTGACCCCCTCTCCTCCATTCCCATACCACGCAAACCCCCTTCCAACATACAGCGTAGCACTCGTCCAGCCCTGTGCACCCAGCTTCCCTAGCACCTCCACATCCCGCTCATCCCTGATCTCCAACGTAAAAAAACGAGACCGACTGTGCGCCGGCGTCGTAGTAGTGCACTGGGGAGCAGTGGCGTCACGCTCGTATGCGATGGAACGAGACGTAAGACCCGTAGCGCTCCACTCTATATCCACACCGCGCGGCAGAGAAGACACCTGGGCGACGAAACAAGGTGGTACGACTATCTCTGCCTTAGCCCTGGTCGAACCTTGATTTTGCGCAGTAGATATGGCAGAACGATCAGGGATCGGCGCCCGGAACGTAGAGTCCTTGAAGGCCGAGGCGTCATGTTGGTTCAAGCGGTCCCAAGGATCAATATCCTCGTCTTCGTCGTCGTTGTCGTCGTCGTCGTCGTCGGACGAGGAGAAAGGCGGGGTATGAAGCTTCCTCCATACTTCCTGTGCCGTCCGCACATCCCCCTCTGGAGTCTCAGAAGCGGGAATGAAACACACGGCTGCTGTCCACCATGTCACTCGCTTTGTGCGGCCGATGCGCCAGAGGTGTTGGAGGGAAAGGAGAGCTTGGCCTCGGAAACCTTGCTCTGTGTAGACGGCCATGGATGCGGGGATGAGCGGGATTTGTCCGGCTACGTAGACGACTTCTCCGGTGGGTTGGGTGTCGTTTTCGGGGTGCTGCTTGCTGGGGGGTAGGCGGGCAGAGATGGCTTGGCTGTAAGGTCCGATGTTTGCGGGTGCCCAGTAGCTTCGGCCTTGAACGTGGAGGCCCTGTCTGTTCACTGGGTGGAGGAGCTTTCCGTTTTGGTCGTTCTGGTCCTTGTCCGCGGTCACGCTTAGCATGACGTGTCTGTCTTTTGGCATGGTGTCCCCGACTGCGATCGTAGCTCTGGCTGGCGGGTTCACGCCGCTGAAGTATTGAGCGTAGATTGGATTAAGGACTGTAAAGTCTGCCATGTCGCGGAGGAGCAATGTGCAGTGGTTGACGCTGGATCTGGAAACATGACATTGCTTCAGAATATGGTCGAGACGGAGGAAGATCTTGGAGAGCTGGCGAGAAGGGGAATCGGGTGAGGAAGAGGGAGAGGTATCGCTCGAGAGGTTGGAGTATGTAAAGACGGTCGAGGTGTTACTGAATGTATTCCTGGGTAGTCGGTCTACTATGGACGGGAGATGCACTCGGGAAGGCGACCCAAAAGACTGAACAGTGCCCTCTTTTTTAGTGGACGCAGAAAGCTCATTTTGGTTGCTGGCGTTTGTCACTTCCAACACTCTCTTGAACTCGTCGTCAAAGAGCTCAGGTATCCTCAACGTGCCAGCATCTTCGTTATCGTCAACCTTTTCCTCTAGCGTACTCTGCTCGATCTTCAGCACCGCCTGGCCACCCTCCAGTTTCCCAGGTGGTCCCTCCTCGATCACTATCTTCTTCTTCCAGATCGACCTCGGCCCATCCAGTGCCAGCGTCTCAAACTCCCCTCCTTCTCCCAGTATCGCGCCGTCACCAGCATCACCATAGCGCCCCATGGCCTTCGCTAGCCTGGCTATAGTCTTGTGATTAGCGACATCGAGGCCCAAAAAGTCTTCATCCAGACCACCAGACGCCGTCTTGATGATGATTGCTTTTTGTCCTACAGTCGTCATATCATGCAAAAGCGACGATTGCGTATACGGTGGCAACAGCGGATACTGCCACAGATACGACAGTGGCGTCAGCCCTAGCCTGAGCGCAACATTCTCCACACGCGTCCGTTGATACGTGCTCAGGATGGCCCCTGTAGACACTGCGTTTGCCTCCGGATGTGCTTCCATGACCCTCCTCAACAGCGGAACCAAGTCTTCAGTCTCATCCTGCTCTTGCTTTTGCAAAGGCGTCGCATAGTCTCTGTTCGAGTCTACGGCGGTGCCCAGGATCTCTTGTCGATAGAGCGGTATTCCTAGCGCTTCTTCGTAGAGTGGGATGACCGAATGCCCCACGGTCTGGTACATGTAACTGTTGATGTCCTCATCGTCATTGGCCGAAGGCGCTGGGTGCAAATTGGCCAGTGCTACGACGCTGTGGCCGTTGGCTTTGCAGTGGAGAATGGAGAAGAGCGAGTCTTTGCCTCCGGAGATTAAAGCAATTACGCTCAATGACGGTGACATGGTAAAACGAATGATTCGAAACGGGCGACCGTCTGGGAAAAGCAATGAAGGAGTTGAGACGGCCCGGTGCCGCTCGTTGCATGAGACAGACGCAGGTGGATTGGATCTCGCTAAGGGTCTGCGCGCGCTAGGTTGATCCGTGGGGTTTTGCAACGAGCGCGATAGTGTATTTTGGTATCAGGGTCCCGTCCTGCACCCATCGCTGACGGCTGATCGTCCAAAAGCAACAGTGCGCACAACGCGCGGCTCGCATGGATGGCACAATAGTCACATGCAGGGAAGAAGCATCGGAAGTATGTATGTAACGTGTTTTTGTATGATAGTCGGACAGTGCCAGCACCTCTAACCTACAATGAGCCGCAAAGAACGCAAAAACATTGCTGAGCAGATTGTAAAAGTCTGACAATTACATGTGTGATGAGAAAGAAGCGAAGATTCCCAGAATGTCAGAGGGCGCTCAGATGAGGCTGCCCGATTACAACGAGTGTAGGAAGCGCAAGATAAACAGCGGGGTAACGCGGCGACAGTGGCCGGTGTAGGGTAATGGCCATGTCGTCGTAAAAGTGAAACCAAAGAAAACACCAGATCTATCCGTCCGCCAAGGTCCGCCCCAGAAGTCCCGATAAGCCGTGCTAAACGCAAAACCAAGCGATGAGAAGAAAATGCCAATCTCGCATGTTGGTACAGCCAGATGGGGTATGTAGAATACAGTGGGAGAAGGGAAGCGTAGAGTTTTAGCTGCAGATTGTGCAAGCTCGAGCCGCTGATGTAGATCGGTGCCGCCTGTCTAGCCATGTCGTGAGGGTGGACGAGCAGCCGTGTGGCATGATGTATAATCCTTCTACCGGGTGTTGTGGGGGTCATGAAGAGTCGTTAAGAGTTGAAAGGAGAAGTGTGGTAGAGAAGAAGATTTACTCGTTCCTCTTGCGCTTCTTCTGGCTGGGGGAAGACTCGTTCTCGGATCCGTCTGAGCTTGATGTGGGGATCTCGGCAGCGGCGTTGTAGAGGATCTCGCCCATGGTGGAAGGCGCCTGTGCGCCGAACGCGCCGGGTTGGCCGTGCTGCATGTCCGAGTGATGGAAGTCGGAGCCCATGACCTCGAGGCTGACAGCGCCAGTGCCGTGGGTGCGCTGGTGCTGCGACAGGTTGTCGCTCCTGGAGAACTTCTTACCGCAGTCGGTGCACTCAAAGGGCTTGTCGTGAGTGTGGAGAGAGCGGTAGTGGCGCTTGAGGTGCTCTTGACGGCGGAAGCGACGCGAGCACAGAGTGCAGACGAAGGTCTTGGAAGGGTCGTCGGTGAGCGACTGCTTGCGACCGCGACGGCTGGTAGGCGCGACGGGAGTGGCGTGTTCGTCTGAGCTGGAGCCGACAGCGTTTTCGGCTTGACCTGATTCTTGTTGGCTTGATGCTCCAGACATGGTGTTGTCATCACCGGATGTCTGTTGCTTACCCTGGTAGTCGGACTCTGTCTCGCTGAACTCGGAACGAGCCTTCTTGACTGTACGCCTCTTCATGTCGGAAGTGGCCGACATGTCAAAGTCGCTGGTGGCAGGGGTAAGGGGCAGGCCGTTGACAAGCTCCTCCTCGAAGTCGGTGAAGCTCTCGTCGCTGAGGAAGTCCTCTTCGGGAGAAAAGGCACCTAGGTCAGTGCGCTGGCGCTTGCTGCCGCAAAAGTGGGCGTTGTCGGTGGAGAAGTTGACCAGGCCCGTGAAGTCGTCCTCGCAGTCAAGCTCGAACAGGGGCTCGAAAGTAGGGAGTCCAGTGAAGTGGAACGACTGAGCAGGCTCGAAGCTGTCTACCTTGGCAGTCTCACCCTTGAGGACAACTTTGTGCTCCTCGTCGCCGGGGCAAAGTGTGACGATAGGAAGCTCGGTAGTGGCGGAGACGGTGAGATCGCGGGGGTTGCAGAAGTTGTTCTCGGCTTCCGCAAAGGCAGAGCGGGGCACTGGTGATGGTGATGGGGAAAGCGAGGGGCATGAAGTTGCAGACAGGAGGTAGGACCCCTGGTTAGCCGACGGAGGCTGGATGTAGACTTGAAGCAGTTAGCAACGCTGTCCACGCACACACGTAATGAGTTACCCACGCAACGTCGAGGCAGCGACATTACTTGCACAAGACGATGCGAATAGTACATTGGATAAACTTACCTGGTGTCATGGGTGGGGAGGCTGAACGCCATTCGAGACCGGCAGAGAGGAGCTCAGAGAAGACCTCGCCTTCGCAGCCCTGCTTTACACCCTCGATACCCTCAGCAGAGAACATGTCGTGCAGCGGTGTAGGGAGGACATCGCATGTGGAAGGAGGGCTGCTGGTGTTGCTACCGCACGATGAAAGAGGAGGTGTGGCAGGCGAGAACGAGTAGTCAGTGTCAATGGGGTGAAGGTATGGCGAGTCTTGAGGTTGGATCAAGATCGTTGGCTTCTGGTACATTGGCTGAGGAGATGCGACGGGAGTCAGCATCTGGTTGGCGTAGGCGGTCTGAGGGTAGGACATCTGAGAGCATGCCGACGTTGGCCTCTGGTAGTACATGTTCTGTGCTTGGAAGGTAGCCTGTCCGGATGGGTGGGGTGTGAAGTGACCGTGTTGGCGTGTGTTCTCCCCTTGAGGGTCCGGGTTGTAGTAGAAGAATGGCGATTGCATTGCCTGGGCAGGGTGGATGGGATATGAGCCTTCCATTGCGTGTGTAGGTGTGTGTTTAGTTCAGTGTAGCAGTTGTCGTCGTCGTACACGTTGTTGTTGGTGGGTAGGGTCGATGATAGAGTTGTATCGAGTGATGTCGAGGACAAATTAGTTGTACTTGAAGGCAGGATACTGGACAGTATAAGAGAGAGTCGAAGGAATGACTGTGGGCCAGTTCGTAATAACGAAACTGTCACTAAGATAGATAATGAAGATCAAAGAGTGTGAGGGCACAAAATTATGAGACCCAAGATGAAAACCTGAACGGCGACGGCGGAAAGAAACGAGAGGGACGTGGTTGATGAACCTTGATCAAGGGCAGGCCAGCGAAAAAGAGAACTGATGAGCGCACAGAGAAGGACGGCTCGCTCTAGTGCGCCGGGGCGCAGCGCAGCTCCACAAGCCAGCTAGGTATGGGATCCTGCATTAGACCCTAGCCTTGACTCGCGTCAAAAGCAGCGAGTGCATTAATGCATGGGTTTTTGGGCCTAAAATTATTCGCCCAATGCATAGCTGCATGGGGCTATACGCGAAATGAGATGTGCGCGGCGGTTCCGGCAGGCCTCCAGGCATTGGCTACGTCGCCAGCACAGCACATGGTGGGATGGAAGGCCTGCACACTGCCTACGTAGTGGGTTCTACCGCCCTCTCCGAATGGAGACGATGCAATAGCTGAAGGCAACTGAGCCTCGCCACGGTATGGCCGTTGTTCTGAACAGCGAGTGACGGGTAGCGAAGGGTGATACTGCCGATGACTGGGCGAGCGTCGGGTGTGTCTTGCGTCTCGTCTGACAAACCACACCACAGTATGCCCTTTCAGACGGCCCTCCAACTCGCCTCGAGATTAGCGCGCCCGGGCATCATTCAGCCTATCATCCTATCTGCCAATCGATAATGATAGCTGCGAGACCCTGCCGGTTGAACTATGTTTTGAAACATCCATACAGCGTCGCGTCTCTCCCGCTCTTCGTGATGGTGATGACGCTGCGCGCTCCACTGAATATGTCACGCACGACAACGCCGTACCGCCCGCGGTACCACCCTCCAGCATCACAGAAGCAACACCGGGCATGCTGATGTCGTTGTTGATTGAGTGCTTTTGGACGCGCTGTGGCCGGCGTCAACGTTGCCCGCACACCACAAGACTCGCGACGCCTTCCTGCGATGCAGAAGCGTACGAGCGATGTGTCTCACGATGTCCACAACAACTCCACCAGCCACGCATGCCCAGAGGTGTAGGAATGTATCGCGTCAAGTCGCCCGACGCGAGGGTAGAAAAATGGTCCATTGCCACACCCATCGCGCAACACTGGAGCGAGAACTTGACATGCCGGGCTTACGCAGGAACGTAAGCCATGGTGCAAGAACAGGATCCCCGTTGAGCGTGATTTGCCCGCGAGCTGAAGGGCCTGGGATCCGCGCCCTCCCAGTGGTCGAAAACACGGCTATTCTTAATGGTGCGACATACTCGTGTGCAGCTCTCTGCAAGTCGCCACCGATACCATTCTTCTTCGAAGGGTGTAAAGAAATTCGGTTGGTGGGATGCATGGTCATATAGCTGCACATGCGGCCTTAATCCATCTCGCAAGTGTGTTTCAGATGTTGGGCTGCCACTTCGGCTACCACTCGTGCAGCGACCGATTGTGGTGGTGTACCAGACAAAGCAACCAGCTGCTCTATCTAGGTATCGATAGTAGACGCAGTTGGCTGGCTATGACGCGGATGAAGTGGATGCCTCACCATTTACACTTCCGCCGCGGTATGAGTTATGCATGTTGGTGCCTCGTATAAGATTCGGCACAAATAGAAACGAGCTATCGAATGCTGCGGGTGCAAAGTTATGAAGCCGCCGGCGAGGCCTAAGTGGCTTACTCGTAAAAGCGGCGTGTCTTTCGCGTGACAAGCGTTGGTCGACTCGAACAGGCCCGATGGCATCCGCCTGGCCGTCATCCCCCACATTGACTGCAGAGCTTATTGATCGAGAATAGCGTCTACTGCAGGTACAATGCAGGAACAAACGGTAAGTGAGACCCCGTACAACATGCGGGCTTATCGTGACTCCAGGAAAAGATTTCGTGGGATTTTCGCGCCGTCTGCTCGCCCTACCACTGTCGTCATGCTCACTGCTTCATGTCAAGACGATGCAATTTCTAGAAGGCCACATCAGCGGGGCTCCCTTACGACTCAACAGGGTCCTGATGCGACTCAAGTTGAAGAAGGGCTCTTCCGTGGTGTGGGCCGTGTCAGTTAGCGTGTGCGGCGTGGTCATGCCATAGCTTCGGCGCCGGGGAACGACGCATGGCTTCCATAGCACAACTCCACTCGACTCTCTCTCCACTTCTTCAGCCTTGTCATTGGCCGAGACTCACGAGGCCCTGATCTTCGTCCTCTCGAAGGAAGTTTTCCAGCCTGGCGGGGTTGAGGCTTCCATCCCGCTCGCCCATGATTTGACTATCGCGATGGTGTGTCCTTTGACTCGCTAGCACGTCTATCGGAAGTACAGCCATGTGTGCCGGCTTGACCAACACCAGAGCTAGTCGACCGTGCCACTCAGGTTCCTGCGTTTGTTCCGTCATGCCGCGGGTCAATGCTACTTTTACGCGTTAGAAACGAAGTGTGGCTTCCGAAACCATTGAGGGCATGACTACACAACGTGAATAGTTGCAAGGTGTCTCTGCTGGTAGGATGCGCACCAGGTGCCTCCCTGAAGGCTTGACAAATCTGACGTACCGTCCCCAAGGCACCGATACCGGGAACGTCGTCTTCTGGAATTGTGAAACTCATCAAAGGTCGCCATTGCCGAAGAGGCAATGACAACGGCTATGTCACCCCGATCAGGCAGCTGGCAGATCGCTGAGCCCACCGCGTCGGGGTCTCAAGCACGGTCAGACATGCTTCTAACGAAATTCGCGTTATGCTCAAGCAGGGTCAAGCTCGTCTGTAATCTCCCGAGAGCCCGCACGACTGGTCCCTGACCCTGTGGCTTCTGGAATTCTTCCCCACACTGATGCTCGGTGCTTGCTGCTGAATGCATGTGGATGTGCTATGCGGTGTGCTGGTCCAGCCAGGGCAACCCTTCCTGCGAGACACCGCCTTGACATTGTTGAGGCCAGTGTCTGATGCGAAAGGCATCGGTTGGACATGTGTCTCGTCTAGTCGAGACGGCAAGTGGGAATTCCCAAAGGTCCGCGTTCTGGAGCCGTCGTGGCTATTGCCGAAGCAGCTGGCCTGAGAGCAGGCGGTCGAGGTCGCACCGCTACGGGCTGGATCTCACCATCAGCCCGACACACGTGGGATTCTATCGACAATATCGGCATACGATAAGCCCGCGGTGAAACGACCGTGAATGTGGTTAGCACCAGGTCCCGGGTGGATAAGACCCGTGTTATTCAATGCTGTTAAGTTTCGAAAGCTTCCATTCATCGCAAATCACTCGGCACGTCGCGCCTTGGCTGGTCATCGAAATCTCTGCAGACCGTCCTCTGGTCATGACACGAGACCTCGACAGGCGACATCTCCCCAAGTCGGCGAGACAAGACCATAAGTGCTCATGGCACCAGGGTCTCGCAACGCTGCGGGACAAACCGACCATGGACGGCTAGTGACTGTGCTCCCCAACGTATGGAAAGTCGCCGATCGAGCGCAGATCTTGGGCATACGGGCGCGTCGGCACGACGATCGCAATTGAAAGTGACGCGCGTGAAGTTGTACATGCTCGATAGTTCTCCTCGACCAGAGGATGGGGCGTAGACGAGCAGGTAATTGTCATGAACATGTGAACCTGACGTACTATAGTAGCTTATTGACGTAAACTTTGTCCAGGACCGGTAAATTCAGAGTCGTAAAGACAGCGAGCAAGTTGGCAGCCGTAGCGTCCCCGCGGCTGCAAGCAACCTGGTATTCACCGATCATGTTGACTACTGACTGACTGAGCACTCGACGTCGCTATCAGCCGCCGTACGGGCCGACTGACTCTGTTCACATGTACAGCCAAAAGCGAGCGGCGCCGCGGTAGAGCAAAGGAAACCCGGGTCGAGAACTCGAGAGCACGAGGCACGCACGCCGCAGTGTCCGACCGAACATGTCCTCCTACGCTCTGACGCCGAAAGTTCCTCCATGGCCACCATCCCGCGCCAATGCCGAGGCACCGCATGAATCCAGACGCACGGCGCTTTGTTTCGCGGCATCCTCAGGCAAAAAGCCATCTTCTGGAAACATACGAAATGCAAACCGCATGAACAGAGACGACGAGAATAGGGCATTCCCTGCGCCCTCGTGGCCACGGCCCATCCATCTCATACAGGATCCTCGCTGAAACATGGCAGATCTCAACGGCGAATGATCTGAAGCAGCGACAGCGGCTGTGTCGAAGTCGCCATACGTCCCTGGCACTGTGCCCGTCTCACAGGCCTGCGCGTGCTCTCCAATCTGCGAAACACCCAGGTGTCATCCAACGGTCGCGTCGAGCTTCCGCGACAGCGCCGCAGCAACCGCGCAATACTTCCGAACAGGAACGTGAAACAGGCCTCAGAAGTAGTGATGTTGTAATCAGTCGCAGCCTAGGCCACGTATTACTCTTCCTATCAATTATTCAAATGATTCATCAGCGGCCATGGAGAGGAGAAGTCGCTCGAGCGCGCGGCGAAAAGTCTTTTGAGGTTCTCGGGCCCGCCGAAGCTTAGCCGGTGTCACGTGCCGGTCGGAGAAACGCGCGCGCCGACGCGCTAGTGCGGCGGCCATAAAAACTTCGCACCTCTGCGTACTGCTTCTGCTCCTCGCGGCGCAGGACGATAGTCCGTTTCCCCGGTTGCTTGAGGGTCATATTCCATGTCCCTTCATGTGTCGTCGACCTGCCAGAGAGAACATATTGCATCATCTATCATATACACTTTGTGGGGGCGCCTGTTTCTAGTGGCGCCTTCACTGGAAAAAGGTAGAACATACTTTCGTGACTCGCAGCCTTTGCTGCACCAGTACGCTCAGGTCGAGGCCCTATGCCTTCTGAGCAGCACTGAACGCGCAAATGTCTTGCTTGTGGCTTTGCAGTGACTCGATTCATCTCTGTGAGCAAGCATCCATCATTCGTCGTTCCGAAGCTGGACTAGCGCTATATCTACAGCAGTGAACCTCCCGGCGTCAAGTTGTCTGCAAATTGAGCGGCGCCGTTTTGTTGCACTCCGAAATATATGCTTCATGACGCGAGTAGTCATTTTGACGTTATGGTCGTGGACTGTGTACCTAGGTATGTCTGGAGCTGGAAGCTCCCAAGGTGAATTATATGAAGACTACGGCGAACACACGTCGTGGCGAGTTTAATCTATATCCGTTCCCCAATATGCTTTGCAACTTGTTAACACGCCATCGACGTGAATGAATCTGGTCTGAGAATATTCGCTTCTCCCGATATTGTCGTGCAGCGTTGATAGAGTTGCGCCGTGGCGGACCCGAAATATGGCCCTGTTGGACAGTATCAAAACCGGTGCAATTTGGCCAGGAGTACCACGACATGCTCACAGGTAATTGATCATAGTCAGACGATAGAAAGGCAGTCCAATGAATAAGGGTAAAATACTTTTTGCCATCGGATGTCGTGGAAATATATACATATCGAATTATTCGTTGTTACGTGTGTATCACATGTGCGCCAAAAGCCCCCTAAAAGATTCCTCAACTCTGCAACCCATCTCCTAGATACCAAAGTTGTCTTCGTTTGCATGCCTTCTCATTACGCCAGTACGACTTTGTCTGAGGGTCAACGGTTTAAAATCACTCTGCCGTTGAGAATCTTTGCGGTCACGTACCGGTCAATTCGTCAACACCATCTCTTCGTATGTCTACGGAAGAAACATCAATACTTCACTCACAGCAGCATATCAACACTACTGTGACATGTATCAATAGCGACCAAGAGTGATAGAAAAGAAGGCTCGTTCATTCATTAGATCACCCCATTAAATGGCTAACACACAACCATGGGTACAACACTATATCGTACACGGAACATCCAACTCCACCCTCTTCCCCCCTAAGCGGCCTGTGTCTGCGTCTGCGTCTGACTAGCAGGCTGTTGCGTCCCGAGCAACCTCTGAAGGTCACCTAGACCAGCTCCAGCCCTTTTCTTCCTCTGCTTCCCGCCCTCCTTCTCCGCAAACGCCAAGCCCATCAACTTCCTCTTCTCCTCTTGAATACCCAAGACCCGCTCCTCTACACTACCTTCAACTACCAGACGAAAGACCTTCGTCTCGCGCTTCTGTCCTAGTCGATGCACACGGTCCACGGCTTGATCTTCAATGGCAGGCGCCCACCATGAGTCCGCCAGAACAACTTGGTTTGCGGCAACGAGGTTCAAGCCGACACTGCATACGGCGAGTGAGGCGAGCATGATGGTCGTCTTTGGATCGGAGTCTAGCGCTTCGAGGGCGACGTCACGTTGTGTGGCGGACATGGAGCCGTCTATGCGTACGTACTTCAGACCGTAGAGGGTGAGGTGTGGCTCTAGGAGATCGAGGAAAGAAGTCCATTGGCTGAAGATGATGGTCTTGTTTGTGGGGTCGTTGGCGGATGCCCGGAGAATGTCGAGAAGTGCCTCGACTTTGGTACTGGTGTTCTTCTCGAGAGATTGCCTGTCGGCGATCTGGTCCTGTGTCAACGGCGCAGGAGCAGCGCCGGACAGTTCCTTTGCAGGTTTCACCGTGGTAGTTGCGATGGAATCCAAGTCTGCACGGCACATGGGGCACTTGTGTTGGGTTTCGATGACGCGTTCTAGACAGGGAGTGCAGAAGACGTAGCGCATTTGGTGATGACGGGCTCTTTGTATACGTCCAAGCAGATCGGACAGTCTTCCTGCGATTCGATGGAGAGTTGAAGCATCTTCTGGAGCGCGGCCTTGTTCTCTTCTGTAAGATCGACGACACCTTCTGCTTCGAGCTGTTTCATGATGGAGTCGAGGCGCTCTTCGCCCACGAGCTGCCAGTGGTTGCAAACTTGTCGCATTCGGAGCAGTACCTCAAGGAGATGGCGGTAAGTGTCCCCGGCGTTCTTCTTCCCGATGTTGTGCTTGTAGACGTCCAGCGTACCCTTAGCCTGAGCCTCCAAGGCGTCGTACTTCTCCTGTTCATGCGGATGTAGCTTGATCTTATGTACGTATTCGGACAGCTCAGGTAGTCGTAGGTCAATGAATGACATCTCCTTCTTGCGACGTAAACAGATACCTGACATCAGCTGCTGGAGCACCTTGTGGCCTTGGACGTCGCCTTGCATGACTGGACGCATGATGGCACTGTGGAAGATTTCGAAAGAGTCAAGACCACCCGAAAGACGTAGGAAACGGACTTGAGAGTAGAGATCCTTGAGATTGTTGATGATTGGAGTGCCAGTAAGCGTCCAGCGGGACTGCGCGATCAAATTGGTAATGGCGATCGTCTTCTTGGCTTTCGGGTTCCTTATGCCATGGCCCTCATCGAGGATGACGCGGCGCCACTTGATAGAGAAGGGTCCGGATCGTCGTGGAACAGTAGGCTTCGTCTGCGAGTACCAGTCAGAAGCAACAGACTCGTAGGTGCTGATCACGACATCGTAGTTTTCGATCGACTTGGGTGTGATGGGTTCCTTCCTTTGACCATGCCAGAACATAACACGAAGAGCGTGTTCGGGCTTGACATGCTTCTTCATCTGAGTGCTCCAGTTGCTCATCACCGATACGGGAGCAAGGATCAGCGTGGCACCGGATGAATCGTCTGCGCGGAGGTTCAGTGCACGATCCGCCAGAATGAGCGAGATGGTCTGAATAGTCTTTCCCAGGCCCATGTCATCGGCCAGGATACCCCCAGAAGCTAGTGTTGGATTCTTGATCGAGAAATTCGTTGCTACGTTCGTGAAGGCGTTCTGGTCGCGAGTGTGTCGCCGCCATAGCTGGACCACTTCTCTGGTATTCGGTGCTGGTAGTCTGGGGCTTTCCTTGTCGAGCATCCATTGCAGGCCTTGCAGCTGGAAGGGGTGCAGCTCAGTGAGAAGAGCGTCGGGTTGGGGCGCTTGTGGCATTTTCGCCTGCCGAATGTTAGTGGTAGATACTGGGGTTGCACGTGCGCATCACTTACCAGGTCTTCTTCCTTGACGCCGTACTCTTCCACCATCTCCTCGACGTTTCTTGGGTTGAAGCGTAGGCTTCCGCCGATGATGTCTTCCATACTAGGCCCTGGCACGAGACCTGGTCCCTGTGAAGAGCTACCAGCAAATTCGCCCATGCTACTCTCGGGTGCCTGGCTACCCGCAACACCCACCACGGCGGCGCCCTTCTTTTTGGCCTCTTTGGCGGCTTGCTTGGCTATACGCTCGCGTTCCTTCGCAGCCGCCTTCGCAGCCGCAGCTTCCTTGCGCTGTTGGTCTGAAGCATGTCCGATAGGAAGTCCGTCGCGTCGCATCCGTGTCATGAGCTGTTGCTTCACGGCTGGGTCATTAGTGCCGTATAGCTTAAGCTGCATAGGGCAGTCATATTCGCCCTTCTCCTCTGTGAGCTGCGCCTCGATAAGCAGACTGCGCTCGTCCATGTATTTGGCCAACTTGGATGCGGGTCCTCGTGGAAGGTGTCCGATCTGTGCACCTTGTACGTTGCTCACTTTGATCGCATTACTGTCAAACCTATTGTGGGGTTCGCGACTCAGAATCACCATCTCGCCCTTCGTTGCGTATCCATTGTAGAATCGCAAGCCCACAACCTTGTCGTCCTTGATGCCATATAGTATGTAGTCGTACTGCTGCTGGTTGTATGCTTGCGTCGCATCCGGGACTTCCTGGGAGGCGTCGTCTTCGTCGTCTTCGTCGATAAAGATGGCATCTGCTTGCGACGAGCCAGATGTAGTGCGTTGCGCTTGGTTGTGCGATGTACGAGCTTGCTTGGGTGCGCGGCGCGGGCTCGAAGAGTAGGCGGGCGCATCGTCGTCTCCTGTGAGGTCAATGGCCTCGTAGGCGCGTCGTTTAGGAGGCATTGCGCGTCGAACGATGGGTGCTGGGAGATATGAGAGATGAAATGCGCGACGGCGGGGAAGGCTTTATGACGTTTGTCGCACGAGCGTGTTCGCGAAATTTCGCGACCGTTGGACGGGGGGAGGAGACGATAAGGGGATAAGGGTTTCAGGTACCTGGCACGCTAAGGCGCGGAAGCAGGTGACATCACAGACAGGGGTTGCCAGGCACGCTCCGATTGCGGTTCGGTCAAGGAGATGAGGAGACGCAAATCGTAATCAACGGTCGAGTTACTTTCCAGTTATACCTGTCAGGATACCAGTGTCTTTGTCTCGGATGCCCAAGACATGCGCTCAATCGGCAAACAAAGCGACCAGTCTTTTCTTGTAGCGGTGCGCAACATGAGACGAGAAAACGACGAAGCGCATCAGCACCTTTTGCTGCCAGATGCTCATCGTGACTCTGCTGGTTGTTACATGATGCGTTCATTATCGTAAGATTCCGTGTCTTAAGCTACTTCCCTAGACGTCCCTCTCCCATTACACTCTTCTACCCTAATTTGATATCACGTATGCCATGGGCAAGCACTTTCGCCCCATAGGTCTCAGCCGACACTGCCGTCCCGCATCAGCCCATGTCTCATCAGAATTGTACAAACAGCGGCGGGAACAAGAAGAGGATGAACTGCACAATTGGCGGGATGGAGCCCAGAATGCCCCTGCACAGCTTCGCCAGTCGCACGCTGCCGTTCTCCTGCTCCGCTTCATAGTATCCGCAAACGATGCTGCCGATGAGCCAGAGCAACAGCAAGGTCAGCATGATGGCGTACCAGGCGGCGTGCAAATGGTACGGATTGGTGCCCCAAGACTCCCAGAGGCTGCGGAGGTTGTAGTAGATGATGCTGCGCAGTGGGACGCCATCGTATTGCAGTTTGTAGATTGTCTTCCATTTCGCCAACTGTACAGAGAAGCGAGTCAGCCACCTTGTCGGCAACAAATGAAGGATGCAATGTCTTGGGCGATGCAGAGCGAGCGACGACGCTTTGGCGACGAGCCTCTGTGAGCTCGACATACTCTGCCCCTGGCCTTTTCCTCTGCCAACGCACGCTCATACGCTTCTGCCGTCTCGGCTTCTGCCTTCTCGCGCGCCTCGGCCAGAAAGTCTTCGATGTCGAGGATAAGGTATTTGGCGATGACGTCACGCTGCTTCTTGATCAAGGCGTCTTTGGCCGCCAGCTCTTCCGCGACGGGCATTGCGGGGCTGGTAAGCGTGTTGCTCTTGTGGGTGCGATAGTGAAGGCTGTGGTACCACAAGAGGGGTTGAAGCGGAAGAGGTAATGCAGCAGACGACCTCTTGTCTGTTTGGGCAAGCTCTGGCAACGGCGTATCTGCTATCTGCTGACGTGGGAGAAAGCGCGAGTGGATTGTTGCTGGGGAAAGCGCATCTGGAAATGCGTCCAGTGCAGGAGCTGCTGCGATGGATGTCCTATGACCACCAGTCACGCCTGCCTCATCTGAGGAATCAATCATGCTCCAATGCACACACTTGGTCCGCTTGCAGGCCTCCTTGCAGACTACCTCGGCGACTGCATGTCAGTGAGCCCCAGCTACATTGTGGTGTCTTAGTATTGTTCATCGCACATGGCTTCTGGTGCTAGAGTAGTAGTTCAGATTCCCGGAAGGGGTACCCTTATTCGCAGGCGGATACGGGTGCCACACCAAGGACCTTGGGCGTATCATCGTGCGACTGGAGGGCTACACAAATGGGAAGCGTGGAAAGGGCGTCTGATGCATGTGCAAATGGCTTGCTATTGTTCTGCGAACACGGTTGAAAAGAGCATGGCAACCGTTGGTTTTCTGCCAAGCAACGGACATAAGCTCGCACCCCACTATGGCCTTCAACTTCATTCGCGCCTGGCTCGAGACCATCTTCCTGTCGCCATATCGCCTGCTGCGCGCATTGCTACCTGCGAGCGCATATCCCACCAACCCCAAGGCAAAAGGCGTCAGGGAAAGAATGCCGAAATACTACCACGACGACGAGGCATGGGCGGACATTGAGCCACTTCCCCAGGATGACGGCGGCCTGCATCCGCTCGCTGCCATCGCATACACGGAGGAGTACAGCGAGGCCATGGGCTACCTGCGCGCCGTCATGGCAAAGAACGAGTTCAGCGAGCGGGTGCTCGGCCTCACGGAGCACATCATCAGCATGAACCCCGCGCACTACACTGTCTGGTACGTCGTATGCTCGGTCAAGTTGCGGAGTTTCGGAGGAGACACTGCCTACCAGCAGTCGCACTGGGAGCTCTCCAACACCCACCCTGCTAACACCCCCGCAGGCTCTACCGCGCCAAAACCATCTCCGAGATTGGTCGATCACTGAAGGACGAAATCGCATGGCTCAACCCGACCGCACTCAAGCACCTCAAGAACTACCAGATCTGGCACCATCGACACACCATCATCGACGAGCTCGGCTCATGTGAGGGCGAACCAGAGTTCATAAACTCCATGTTGGAATTGGACTCCAAGAACTACCATGTGTGGAGCTACAGGCAATGGCTGGTCAAGCGCTTCGATCTCTTCGACAAGCCCGAAGAGCTCGAGTGGACACATAGCATGATCGAGGAAGATGTGCGCAACAACTCTGCCTGGAACCATCGCTACTACCTAGTCGTTGGCGGTAGAGAGGAGAAGCCAAGCGCAGATCTTGTGAATCGGGAGATAGAGTATGTCTGTTATCGCCCCAAGCTGCTCGACGATACTAACCCCATAGGTACACCAAAGCAGCCATCCGGAAAGCGCCCCAGAACCAGAGCCCATGGAACTATGTCTTGGGTATCATTCGCGCAGCGGAACTTCCCAAGTCGACCCTTAAGGACTTCGCGGGTGAATTCGCTGATGTGCAGAGGCCAGACGACGTCCACTCAAGCCACGCTCTTGATCTCCTAGCCGACATATATGCGGAAGAAGAGAACAGCAAAGAAAATGCGGAGAAAGCCCTGGAGCTATTGGCGACAAAGTACGATCCGATCCGAGCAAACTACTGGAACTTTAGGAAAGGCCTCCTCGATCAACCAAAGGTTGCTGCGTAAACCCCATGATTAGCGTAAACTTGAGAAGCATTACAGAGATACCCAACTAGCGTTTTCAACATGGTCTGCGGATCCGCATGATCTGTTCCGACGTCCGCATACAGTTTTCGTTCTGGGGAAGCCCTGTCTGAAACGTCGATAGCTATCGCAGGAAAGTTGCATCGTGATGGGAGCGTGGACGCGTCTTCCACTCATGTGCGAGAGTTTTCCTTTCCGTCGGGGATCGCTCGCGCCAATCCCGCAGCCGTCATGTCATCCTAACATCAGCCTCCCAGCCAACCCCGTCTTCACCGTCTCGCCGAGTTGTTATCGGCTCCGGGCCTTCTGGACTCATCACCCGCATAGACAACTGATGCGCGTCCTCTGATAGGCAAGGCCGCGCCAAGTCCACCACTGTTTGGAGGCGGCAAACCCTGGCAGAAAATGGTCCCGCCGTTGATAACCGCTTCTGGAAATCCAAACCCTGGCCCAAGCTGCTGCGTACCGGTCTCATGCTTGTGTCATTTTGCAGTCGCAGCGTGGTCGCTTGTTCCTTATCGAGAATCTATAGGGTAATTTATGCACTTTATAGGGTAATCGATACAACACATCGTGGATTCGGTGTGCCACAGTGCTGCCTTTACCCCTCTGGCTCCATGACCTGGACACTAGGGTTGCGGGTGCTTGCGGAGCGATAAGCCATCATGGTAGAGATAAAGGAGTGGCTCTTGTACACTTAGACTGCGACCAAACAAAGCGTTTCTGAACACCAAACATCAAGCTCTTCGTCTACTTCTCATCTTACACTTGCTTCTAATACAATTCTGTGATACCCCAATCCTTTCCCTACTTTCATCATGGCCGTCAAGGAGTGCTACATCGACGAGGCGCCCCAGCAAAACCCATGGGTTCAGACTCCGCTGAGAGAGTCGTACGCGCTGTCTGAAGCAGCGGGATGGTACGGTCACACTCCCTCTCACCTTTACCCCCTCTCCTCACTTTCACGTCACAACATGGCCCCATCTTCAAGAAAAGGGAATTCTAAATCGCAGAAGCAGAATCTTTCTCAAGCTGGAAAATCTCCAACCTTCTGGATCATTCAAGTCACGGTAAGCATCAATCCCTTCAGCTGCTACTCAATAACGTACTGATTCGTCTACCAGAGGAATCGGCAACTACATCCTCCGTCGTCTCGCAGAACTCCCAGAAGGCTCGCGCCCTCACATATTCGCATCCAGCGGTGGCAATGCAGGTCTCGCTGCCGTCCACTCTGCTCGCGCTCTCAATTTACCGTGCACTGTCGTTGTACCCACCGCCACAGCACCTTTGATGGTTGCCAAACTACGAGCAGCGGGCGCGTACGAGGTTATCCAATACGGTGCAGCTTGGAAAGATGCAGACACATATCTCAAGGAGCATGTAATGCCCTACGTACGGTCCTCTCCAGGTATACAATTTGACTGAGACACTGACGCATCCATCAGGCACAAACTTCGACCATCTACTGCCCACCCTTTGATCACCCAGACATCTGGCAAGGCAACAGCACCTGCATGGACGAGATCGCGGCTCAACTCCCAGGCGAGCCAGATGTACTGATCTGCTCTGTCGGCGGCGGCGGCCTAATCAACGGTATCTGCCAGTCTATGGATAAACACCAAATGAGTAAGACAACCATCCTCGCCATGGAGACTGCTGGCGCCGAGAGTCTCAACGCAGCGCTGCAAGCCAAGGAACTCATAACGCTACCCAAGATCACATCACAAGCAACAAGTCTAGGCTGCGCCCGCGTAACAGACGCAACCTTCAAATACGCTCAGCGAGGCAACGTTCGAAGCATCGTTCTACCCGACGCAGAAGCAGCAATGGGCTGCTGGCGCCTCGCAGACGACGAGCGCATCATGGTAGAGCTCGCCTGCGGTATTAACGTCGCTCTCTGCTATGACGGACGACTCGAGAAGGCCCTCGGCCGCCCAGTTCGCCCAGAAGACAAGGTCGTCATTGTGCTTTGTGGCGGTAGCAACGTCACGAGCAAGATGTTGTGTGATTGGAGGAACGAGTACGCGTACATTGAAGAAGAGACTGAGGCTAGGAGGCGCAAGAGCGATTCTGCGCTTGGTAGCGAGACACAGAGTGAGACGGGCAGTGTGAAGGATGTCGATATGGGAATGGGCAATGTCCCAAGTGAGTACAGTAAGCCTCTGGTGATTGAGGGTATTGAGGTTGGCTGCGTAGAGTGCTCATAGGAGTAACTTCTTTTCCCTTTCCTTTTTCACGAATCTCCTTGCGCTCAGCCTTATACACTGAGGCGCTTTCTTGATAGCGTTTAATGGCAAAAACTTCACGTTCAATCTCCATGCGTTCACTCACCATTCATTTTTCGTGGGGCTTGGTGTTGCCTTAGCTGCTGGGCTATGTCTGCTACCTCTGGAGAAGGTTTTTTGGCAAGGCACCAGGGCATCACGATGCGTCGTCTCTCTCGTTGCTTTCACTCTTAACATGTTCTGAGTTCACACTGCTACTAGCGTCAGATACTGTCACTGGTCTGACTTGCCTTGCGCGACAAGGCTTTTACAAAAAAGGTAACCTGCTCATGATGTCATAAGGCAAAAGCGAAGGATGTAAGAGGTGAATTGCTTTGTTCAGTCGTCAGGAGCGCTCAGAACAAGGCCTGTATAGTCTAGAGCGCTGTTCTATCTTGTAACGCTTTGTCTTACACGCCCGTACTGTGACTCGAAATACGATGTTTGACTTCATTCAAGAGTATTGTATGCATTGTCGATCTGGTGCGCGCGTATTCTCTCACCCCACATCACGTCTCCGCTACCCTTCTTGCGTTACCACTGCTCACTACCTTATCGACTACGTCCACACCGTAAAATTAGACGTGCCCTCCCGTTAGTCACCGAAAGCGAGGTCATAAACATTCAAAGCTCATTTCGCCATGGCTAACCCGCGAACAGTCATCAATCCATTTACCAAGAATGAACACCGCATGCGACGAAACACGAGGGGTACGAAATGGGTCACAGCTGGCCCTTCGACGGTAATCAAACAGGAACTTGATACTGAGCAGCGGCCAACACAGCCCAACCATTACAAGTTCAGTTTACTCAGCGACTCAAATGACGGGCCCACCGAGACGCGTGTGTCGTCATCGATAAGACACGAGACAAAACCATCATCACTATCTTCAAAGCCTTCTGCAACCAATATGAAGGTATCATACCAGGAAAGCCCTGTAGTAGCACCAAGACTTCTCGACTTCTCGAAGCTTGAACAGACCTGGAAGATGTCAGACTCGGCCGTCCTTTCTCGCTGTTCAGCGTCAACAGTACGGCCTGAGCAAGGAAAAAAGCGCATGCGGAAGAACCAGATTTTGGATGAACCATCTGATACTGATCAAGCTACAACCCGGAAGCAAAAATGTGATCAGAAGCAAGTTATTTCTGGTCCGACTCATTGGTACCGCACAGCTAAGAACATCTACACTGCAGGCCCAAAGGGTGAGGGACAGAAGGTTTGGGAAGCGTACCAGCAGAAACTTGGCCATAAGAAAGCTGGTATTGAACCCTCTGATATCAAGCCTCCCGAAACAATGGCGAAGGTGAAGATCGAAAGGCGACCGCCTTGTCCTCTTCCACCCCCAACAAGTCCTGATGGAGTTCTCTTCCCACCGCTGCGGCCGCGGACGTCTCATACTAATAACAGTAACAAAGTGAACATACCCGATAGGCCAGATGCGCGGAGAGATTTTGGCTTCTCGAGCTCAATCCATGGATCACCGATAGCCGCTGAAAGAGCAGTTGGATTAATAGTTGATGTGAACAACGCTCACCCTCCCTTCTCAACAATAGACACAGCACCGAAGGTACGAAGAGCTAGAGACGTGCCAATCGTAAATTTCCGGCAGCCCGCTGAGAAAGAAGAGTCCAACGCATGGTGGAAACATTCGCCCTCCAGAGTACCTCAATCTTTGAAGTCCAAGATCTCACGTCCTGTCCCACTAATAGAACCAATCCAAGATACCACAGTCAATGTAACTGTAGAACGTGGTGGAATTGGCGGACCTACAGCTGAACTTCCCCTTCCCGTAACCCGCACTGACGTACCCTTCTCCCAGCCGTCTTACGTCCATGAGAAGACTAAAGAGACTAACCGACCCTCACCTCGAGCTTTTCATCTCCCTGCGTTCCATCTCAGTGCTGCTAAGAGCAAACGCCACGGTCGAGGAAAAGCAAATGTAGATGAGAGCGACGACGCTCACTCGACACACTGGCACGACAAGGTCGTAGGACCAACGTTGAAGACTGGTAAGTCGTTGAAGCAAACTGCTATGCAGACTCTAGACAGCGTAAATTCAGGGAGAAAGAAGACACTTTCGGGTATCAGCTTTGCGTGCCAGGGTAGGGTAGACGATGGGCTGGATAGGTATCAGGTCAGTGAACAAAACTCGTCAAGCGACGATGAAGAGGACCTGTATCCTGAACCGTTGTTCTGTGGTAAGATATTAGGCAGAGATAAGAAGTCATCTGAACCTTAACTTGGGGCTTTGAAGGACTAATAAGGCACTCCTTTGCATCACTCCTGTCGTGGAAGGCCGGATGACGCTTCCGTTGTACTATTTTCTATTTAGTCATCTTCCGATCATCTCACTGTGGATAGCTTTTGAGCAAGCATTAAGACGTGCTTGTATTTATATCATACTATATTCCTCCTTCACTTGTATCATCTACACTTCTCACACCGAGGCAACCCTTCAACTCGCATCCCCGCGAAAGACCACCACGCAGCCCGAAATTGATAAGACGCGGGTAGTAATACTGCACATCCCTATACATTTGCTGGTAGTCCGAATCAGTATTGAGCAGACAGGCGTCTTGCGAGTCGTTGAAGCTGTCAACAAAGTCGAGATCGCCGTTGGTAAAATACGCCCTCGTACTTCGCGCGCTTGGCAAGTGTACCTGCGGATATAGAGCGACATGCTATCCATCCTCTGCCTTGTCCAGCGAAACATCGGCATCTACATGTGTTCTGATGCCATTCAACTCCGACAACGCAGCAATGAGATCCTTCTGCGGCCCACCCAGATGCTCCAACACCTTCACTAGATTCTCTGTTTTGGGAATGAGCTTGTTTTGCCCTATTCTGATGAAAGAAGCGAGTGGTTTGAAAGCAGTTGCTGCTATCTCCTCGAGCAGGTAGTGTTGGTGATCCAGCGGTGTGGTGGACGAGTTGGACATATTGACGAAGCTCGAAGTCGAGCCTGCTTCGCTTTCTTCGCTACGCGCGATCTGCTGTTTGGCAAGTTGATCGCGATCAACTAGCGCATAAGTGATTGTAGCCTTGAGTCCTAGCGGCATTTCTTCGGTGCACACCACCCCATCTGGCTGGCTACACAGGGTCGCTTTGTATTCCGACCCATGCTGCCCAACGAGAAAATTGGACACGTTTGACATGGAACTTGGCTGGATGCGGATCGTGGCAGATGAGTGTGGCCAGAATATCTGAGATAGCACAGAATGATTGTGCAGGATCTGGAGAATGTCATCGGCGTTGAGACCGTCTGGCAGCGGGTATGTGCTTTTGCTGCCTGTTTTGGTAGAATACAAGACTTGCCACTTGTCAGATATCCACTGAATATACCTGCCAGTTGCTGGCGAAGTCACACGTACAAGATGTCATTATACGAGATTTGTCTGTCAAGCTGTTAGCACGAATAGTAAGATGTCTTAGCACCCCGTTAGCAATGCATAGCAAGGGAGCTACATACTTGTAATAAGTTAGCAAGATATCTTAAGAGCTATTCGTGGCAGCTACTTTACCCTCCCTGAACTTGATTACTAGCGATGTGTCGCCTCTTCAGTAACGAAGGGGAGGATGCTGATGAAGTCAGGCCGTGGGCACCAAGGTAGTAGCGGTCGTGCCTTTGACTCCGGAGAATGACGTTGTTTGCAAACCGGGGTGGTGGAGAAGCTCCTAAACAAATGCTTAAACGCCGCGGCAGCGGAGAAGTTTCGGAAGAAATGCCTGAACGGTAATGACGGCACTGGCCTTGTAGTGTATTCAATAGCCTTGCATCATCACCTCTGTACCAACTCAAGCCCTATGCAAACATCTAGTGATAGTGATATACACGTGTATGACGCAGAAGCTGTTCACACTGCTTGGAAATGGACTAAAGTATGAAGGAGCGTGGGAAGCTTACTTAGGACTGAGTCTCGTATTCTTAGGCAGATGTGGAACGGCGTCGCGTGCTGCAGTCTCTAAATAGTTGCATGCAGAACTAAATGTGAAGGATGCCGGTATCAGATGGCTGTATTGACTACTAGAGTGAGATATTCTGACATTGCACAGTCCATCCGAGCTGGAGGCGGAGGATTATGGAGTTGCTCGCACAGGCCACGTGCTGCCAGAGTTTTTGGAAAGCTAAAAGAGGGTAAAATAGTTTCGAAACGGGTTGCCTGACCGTTTTGGCCCCGGCTGATCACCCGCCGTGCATCCGGCGGAGAACGGATGGTCCCAGTGTAGTAAATTATGGCATGCGAACGAGGATATGCATGAGATGGGGTATTATTAGGGTGGTGAAGATGGGAGGCTGGTAAGATTTAGCATGATGGAGGAAGAGTGGCAAATGCAGGCGCCTGCAGGCTGGGACGAGGAACACGATGAAGCGACTGGAGATGGGACAAGTTTTGGGCTGTGTCGATTGCGAAGATTGCAGAGCTTTAGCCCGGGTTTGTACTCGTGGTGTTTATGGAAGGGCGTTGGTGTCTTGACTACGAGTGAGCCGAGACCGATAACTGCGAACTTCATCAGCATCGTCTGCATAGTGGGACGGGCCCTGGGGCGTAGGTGATGAGGCACGGGCGGGAACAGGCGCAACTCATGGCAGTCTCCATCCTCCCGTCAACTCACGCGACGGCCCACTGACCAAGACCAACGTGGCCTCATGAGAGATGCGAACGCGCCACTGCTAAGAAGGGTGTTTCCCTATTAGCAGCCTGGCGCATCATTGCCATGGTCTCGTACTACCCCACGATGCAGCCATGGACGAAAATAACCGTGCAGCAAGAAACGAAACAAAACTACCTCAAGGCAGCTAGAGGGCCGACGATATCCAGGTAAATATCATGGTCGGAGGCTAGTGAGTCGATCCGAGGGGAATTAGCATGCGTTGTGCCTGGTCGTGCAGCAGACCCTGGGCGCACAATGCAGCAGCGCTCACATCACGACAGCGGCATTG